TGGGCAGAGGAGGTTTTATGTGTGTGAACATATATGCCTGAGGGGAGAAGGGTCCTTAGAAGCCGGATCACAAGTCTGAAGAGGGCTAGGCAGGAGTCTTTGACAGGGCTGAAGAAAGGGGCTTGTAGGAACGAGGCCCCAAACTGTAGGGTGTAAGAGAGCAGCAGCAGGTGGTGGAGGTGGTGTGAGCAGGGCTATTAGGAATTTGAGGCATGTTAGTACTGTGACTATTTATATTTCCGTGACTCAGAGCTGTGGTATGATATTTCCAGAATGGCTTCTAAACAATTCCCCCTTTTATAGCCCAGACACATGGCCCCAAGCCCAAGACCCCAGCATATCCTGCTCTGGAGGGATGCCCACTCCTTCCACCTCCTGTCTCCACTGATGGGCTTCCTCAGTCGGGCTTGGAGCCGCCTGAGGGTCCCGGAAGCCCCAGAGCCCTGGCCGGCAGAAACAGTAACTGGAGCAGATCAGATAGAAGCTGATGCTCATCCGGCACCTCCCCTTGTTCCTGAGAACCACCCCCCTCAGGGGGAGGCTGAAGAAAGTGGAACTCCTGAAGAGGGTAAAGCAGCCCAGGGACCCTGCCTGGATGTGCAAGCCAACAGTTCCCCTCCTGAAACTTTGGGACTTTCAGATGATGATAAGCAAGGACAGGATGGCCCCAGAGAGCAGGGAAGGGCACACACAGCTGGCCTGCCTATACTGCTGTCTCCTGGTCTGCAAAGTGCTGATAAGAGCCTTGGAGAGGTGGTGGCTGGAGAAGAGGGAGTGACTGAGCTGGCTTACCCCACATCACACTGGGAGGGTTGTCCATCTGAGGAGGAAGAGGATGGAGAAACTGTGAAATAGCCTTTCTGAGCCTCTGCTGACTCTCCAGGGCACAAGTCCAGCACTTCTGTGTATTGCCCAGGGGAGGCAGAACATCAAGCCACGGAGGAAAAACAAACAGAAAATAAAGCTGACCCCCCCAGCTCTCCTTCAGGCTCCCACTCCAGAGCCTGGGAGTACTGCTCTAAGCAGGAGGGAGAAGCCGACCCAGAGCCACACAGGGCAGGGAAGTATCAACTGTGTCAGAATGCAGAAGCTGAAGAGGAGGAAGAAGCCAAGGTTTCATCTTTGTCTGTGTCTAGTGGGAATGCCTTCCTGAAGGCCTGGGTGTATCGACCTGGAGAGGACACCGAGGATGACGATGATAGTGACTGGGGATCAGCTGAGGAAGAGGGTAAGGCCTTGTCTTCCCCTACCTCTCCTGAACATGACTTCCTGAAGGCCTGGGTATATCGACCTGGAGAGGACACAGAGGATGACCAAGACAGTGACTGGGGATCAGCTGAGAAAGACGGTCTAGCTCAGACCTTTGCCACCCCCCATACAAGTGCCTTTCTCAAGACCTGGGTCTGTTGCCCTGGAGAGGACACAGAAGATGACGACTGTGAGGTTGTGGTCCCAGAAGATTCAGAAGCAGCTGACCCAGACAAGAGTCCCAGCCATGAGGCTCAGGGTTGTCTGCCTGGAGAGCAGACAGAGGGACTTGTGGAAGCAGAGCACTCTCTCTTCCAGGTGGCCTTCTATTTACCTGGAGAGAAGCCAGCACCACCTTGGACTGCCCCTAAGCTGCCCCTTCGGCTGCAAAGGAGGCTTACGTTGTTGAGAACCCCCACCCAGGATCAGGACCCTGAGACTCCTTTACGGGCCAGAAAGGTGAGTGGGTGCTAGGAGCCTAATGGAGTCTTTCCTGTGGTAGCTTAGGGATGTACAGTCCTAGTACTGGATTTGCAATTGGATTTCACACTGCTTTTTTCTTTCTTTTTTTTTTTTTTTTTAATATATAATTTGTACAAAAGGTCCAGATTCTGAGTCAGGAGGCAGGGCCTGGGACCTGAAAATCCCTTATGGTGGAGACCTCAGGGACCCATGTGTTGCAACTTCTTACATGGGAAGGCTGTGTTCACCCTGTTGCAATCGCCTGTAAGAGGCAGGAAGAGTGATAATTGTGGCTCATGGCAGCACAGACATGTCAGTGAGTCAGAGGGACAGTCAGGATGGCAGGCAGGTGACTATTCCAAATAACAAGTGTTTTCTTGTGACTAATTTTTACTTCTTGCCTCTGCCCATCTGTCCAGGTGCATTTCTCTGAGAATGTCACAGTCCATTTCCTTGCTGTCTGGGCAGGACCAGCCCAGGCTGCCCGCCCAGGCCCCTGGGAGCAGCTTGCACGAGATAGGAGCCGTTTTGCTCGAAGAATTGCCCAGGCGGAGGAGAAGCTGGGTCCTTACCTCACCCCTGCCTTCCGAGCCAGAGCATGGGCACGCCTTGGAAACCCATCGCTTCCTCTAGCTCTTGAGCCCATCTGTGACCACACCTTCTTCCCTTCCCAGTGAAGCCCCTCCTTCCAGCCTGGACTGCGGTGGGAGGCGTGGCTAAACCCAAGTCGTTTCCTGTTATTTATTTTAATAAGAAATAAAGCCTTTTGATTTATACAATTCTTATGTGTGTACTGATAGTATCCTGCTGGTGTATCTTCAAGGGAGGCTAGAAATGAGTTCTGAGACCAGCCTGATCTACATAGTGACTATCTCAGACAGGTGTAAAGTGACAACTAATCCCAGCACTTTGAAGCTGAGGCAGGATTGGCTTGAGCTAAGGCAGACATAACCTATGGAGGGTGGTAGATACAAGCAAGGTATAACGACGTGTATGAAAATGTAATGAAGCCCATTATTTTGTACACTAACTAAAAAAATTTCAAGGTTTATTAAAAGACAGGCCAGGCACAGAGGTGCATGCTTGTCATCCCAGTACTCCGGAGGCGTAAGCAGGAGGATGGGGTGTTCAAGGCCAGCCTCAGCTACCTTGTTGGAGGCCAGACTGAGTATCAAAAAACTAAAAAAAAAAAGGGGGGGGCATAGTGTGAAGCTTTCTCCAAATGCACAGGACAGAGCTGGTGAGGGATGGTATTTTATTCAGTTACTCACACGCCAGTTTCCCATCGAAACTGGATAAGCAGATGGCGAAGGCTTGGAGCGGGCAAAGAGGATATCGGAAATCCATAGTGAATATGTTTGGGGCCACGCGGCCGAACTGGAGAACCAGGTGGTCCGCTGATGAGCAAAACAGGAAATAGGACTTAAACTCCTGCCTCCCACCCGCGCCACCTTTACCAAGCTGGGAAATGCTAGGAGCCTTATGGACTACATCTCCCAATAGGCCTTGCGACAGCGAGGCTCTCGCCCCGCTTAAGAAACCCCCCAAGGGGTGGTTCTTGAGTGGCCGCTTTCTTCCCGCAAGCCCAGGCCTTCCGGTTGCTAGGAGCTCACGTTCATCCGGGTGAACAATCTGGAAGTTCTTGACCGAAGCCCGAGTGACGCGACCGTGAAAATTGAGCACGTAGGCGCCACTCTCGTCGCTCCAAGATGGGGCCTTGTTCTGCAGTAAGAGCAGCCCGTGTCTAGCACCCTTTTGTAGGCGACTCAATATCGAATCCTGATCCTTGAAGATACAATAGGGGCATCGTTTGTTAGCCCACCCGCAACCTGCTTTTTAGTTCAGATGCACAGGTTTTATTTATTATTTATGTATTTGTTTATTTGAGAGAGTGTCTCTAGAGTCCCATGTTTATCTTTTTGTGTGTGTATTTTTAGAGACAGGGTTTCTCTGTAGCCCTGGCTGTACTGCAACTAGCTCTGTAGAGCAGACTGGGACTGTAATTTTTTTTTTCTTTTTCTTTTTTATTTTTGAGACAGGGTTTCTCTTTGTAACAGTCTGGCTATCCTGGAACTCACTTTTTTGACCAGGCTGGCCTCGAACTCACAGAGATCCTCCTGCCTCTGCCTCCCGAGTGTTGGGATTAAAGGCATGCGCCACCAATGCCAGGAGAGTTTTGGAATTTCTTATCTCCCTTCCTGTGATGAATTCCATATTTCCAGAGGTAAATTTTAAATATGCATTTATGCAAAAATTATTTATAATGTGCAGATTTATAACCACACACAAGTCATTATGTATAATCTATTGTACATTTGTTGTTAGTCACGGTTTAAAGTACCCAAGCTTAAACTGGGTGGTGGTGGCGCACGCCTTTAATCCCAGCACTCGGGAGGCAGAGGCAGGCGGATCTCTGTGAGTTCCAGGCCAACCTGGTCTCCAGAGCCAGTTGCAGGATAGCTAGGAAAGTCTCAAAAAAGGAAAATTAACAAATTAACTTCGGTTAAATATATGTGTGTCTGCATATGTGTACTGTGTGCATGTGAGTGCAGGTGTCTTCACAGTCCAGAAGAGGACATCAGGTCCCCTGTAAGCCACAAGGGTACTGGGAACCAACTCCAGAAATTGTTTTTTCTTTTGAGACAGGGTTTCTCTGTGTAGACCCAGCTGTCTTGGAACTGTCTCTGTAGACCAGGCTGGCTTCAAACTCAGAGATGTGCCTGCCTCTACCTCCCTCCTGTTGGGATTAAGGCATGAGCCACCAATGCCAAGCCAAAAACTTTTTTTTTTTTTTTAAATACATGGTCTCACCATGTAGCCCTGGCTGTCCTGGAACTTGAGATGAGGCTGCCTCCAACTCACAAGGTCTGCTTTTCCTGTCCCTCTAGGTGAGCAATGCATGCTCTGGTAATCACTGAGCCATCTCTTCAGCCTTAGGCCCTGAAGTTTTGAGTCTCTGGTTTTACTTTTTAAGACAAGACTCTGGCAAAGTTATTCAAGTTTCACATGTGACCTGCAAACCATTGCCCCACCTCAGGATCTGTGATGGCTCACCCTGACCATTCTGCTCTCTGCACTGTGACTCCCAACCTTAAAGACTCACATTTTGTGGCTGCACCCTCATCCTCTGCTTCCGGCTGTCCATTCCTGGAAGGATCACAGTCATTTTCCGAGGTCCCCGGAACCCCAAGACATTGGTTTCCTGGGAAAATTAATTAGATTATATTCCAGCTGGCCTGGCTCCTTATGCTTTCTTACCTATTGGCACCCCCATTCATTTCTGCCCCTGCCAGGATACTTACATAACATACAACTCCCAGCTCCTCTCTGATCCGGGCACTGTCTGGGATCCAGTAGTTCCGCTCAGGGTTCACCCCATTATCAAAGATGGTGAATTTCGTGCCCAAGACGTTAGATCTGCCCCAGGAGGGCAGTGAACAAGGTAAAATGGCCATAATGGTGATTTTTACTCTGTTAAGTGCTTTCTCAAACCCATCCTCTAAGGAAAAAAAATCACAGTCCCAGCCCTCTGTTTCTTTGGTATCATTCTAGCATCCTACATTGACTCTTTGGGAATCCTCTTCCCTCTAGCAAGTAAGAACTCCCACACTCTAGACCTCTTTCCCCACAGGCACTGAGGGTTCCCAGCCCTCTGCCTAGCAAAAAGCTAAGCATCCTAAATGCCAGCCTGTGTTCATGGCATCCAAAGCTTTCGTTGTTTTGGATGTTTTGTTTTGTACTTCCACGGCTGGGAAGTACAACCTGCAGAACTACAAAAGCCATCAGGCTTTAGTGCAGGTCTTGTGCTGTGCATGGCAGCCTATTGGGAAATGTAGTTCATGTGCCTATCTTTCTCCGGGCTTCCGAGGAGCACCACATAACAAGAAGGCTTAGCCTACCTAACTTTGCCTACAAAGTTGTTCCCATTTCGAGACATGTCTTTGGGGTCCAGGGAGATGAGATAATTTGAGGTTTTGCTTCTTTTCCTTTTCCGCCCAGCCAGAAGGAAATGCTGCAGACCAGAGAAGAGACGTCAGGATTGATTTCTGATACCTGTCTAGAGCCAGGGTCCTGACACAGCTCTGAATATGGGAAAGGCTGTTTCTGGAAAAGATAGAGGCCACACACTGGGAGAAGACTGGGCATATGGAGAGGAGTGTGGCTTAGCTATAGAATGGAAATGCTTTTTTTTTTGTTTTTTTTTTTTGTTTTTTTTTGGTTTTTCGAGACAGGGTTTCTCTGTGGCTTTGGAGGCTGTCCTGGAGCTATCTCTTGTAGACCAGGCTGGTCTCGAACTCAGAGATCCGCCTGCCTCTGCCTCCCGAGTGCTGGGATTAAAGCATGTGCAACCACTGCCTGGCTTTAGAATGGAAATGCTTTGAAGGGCCTACCTAGTTTATACTAGGATTGGGTGGGGTTTGACCACCAAGAAGACTAAGTTGGGAGGCCAAAGAAGGGACCCGCTTATCTCCAGGCAGAGGGAGGTGTGGTAGGTATGAACTCATTCTGGAATGGATAAGGCTTGGTTATAGGGTAGGGAGGACCTAAGCTACTAGCTTCTGAAACTTTGAAGAACTGAGGTAGACGGGGCTGAGAGCTTATAAGTCCTAACACTGTGACACAGGCCTGAGTTCAGAAAAAAAATTTTTTTTTTTGTTTTTTTGAGACAGGGTTTCCTTGTGTAGCCCCAGGGTGTCCTGGAACTCACTCTGTAGACCAGGCTGGCCTCACAGAGATCTGCCTGCCTCTGCCTCCCAAGTGCTAGGATTAAAGGCACACACCACCACCACTCTGCCAGAAAAAAAAAAAATTGTTGGAAGGGTGTCACCTTGTTTCCCTGGCTGTCCTGGAACTCATTTAGGAAAGGGCTGCCTTCCTCTGCTTACCAAGTGTGGGGAATAAAAGGCATCTACCACCACCACCTGGCCTTGAACTCCTTTACCTCCAAGGCTGACCTTGCTGACTGCTCTCCTGGTCCTGCCTGCCACCATTTCCCAACTATTATTAGGATTATAGTTTTATGCCACTACATCTGGCTTCAGAAATCTTTAACCATGTTCAAAAAGGGGAGTGACATGCTTCTCAGAGTTGGGGCTTGTTTCCCTTCCCATCTGCCCCTCCCCAGCGTGAAGCCTCCCGGCCACCGAGGGACCGGAGCGTACTGCCACACCGTCCTCCGCCTCCAGGTAGAGGTAGTAGGAGGGGAACATGCCCTTGTCCACGCCATGCTTGTTTCGCACGATGCGGCACTGCACCATGTGGTCTCGGGGTGCAGGTAACAGCACATAAGCTTCCATGTCCTCCCCGAGCCGAGGGCCTGGAGTTCGGGGCAGGGGACAGGTCATGTTCCAAGTATTGTGGTTGCTTGTGTCACCGTTGCCTTGCAAGTCCTCGGCCACCACTGGGTCATTGTTTGTCCCTGTAGACTCTGAGGCCTCTTTCTTCTCCAGGTCTTCATCCTAGCTCAAGTGCAAATCAAAAGTTGAGGGGTCGTCAGGCTTGGCTGTGCAGACTGATTGGCTATTCTAGCTAAGGAATGACCCTGGAAGACCCATGATTTCTTGTTAGTCAAGCATGTCAGCTAATCCACCCAACCAAGTTTGCACATCTGTTGATTGGTCAAACTTGCAAGTTCGTCAAGTTTGGTGTGAGATCATTACTCCAGAACATATAAACCCAGAGTACCTGCCAAAACATGCCAGTCAAGTTGTTGGGGCATTACTGGGTAGTAGCACCCCTGTGTAGAAGCCCCCAATGAGGGGCTCAGGTGTGGCTCAGTGGTAAGAGCACTTGTCTAGCAAGCAGGCTGTTATGTTGACTATAAAATGACCCTCCTAAATCATGCTTTGTAGTCTCTGTAAGTTGGCACCTGTCCATGGATTTTTTTTTTTTTTTTTTTTTTTTTTTTTTTTTTTTTAGGGAGGAGGTTGAGTCTCCTTATGTAGCCCAGATTGGCCTTGAACTCTCAGTCCCTGTCAGCATCCTGACAGCAGGAAATGCAAGCATGTACCACCATGCACAGTACCATCCTACCCCGATGCCAGAAGCTGGTGGTCTTGTTTCTATATTATTTTTCACTGTGCTTTCTTCCATCTTGCAGGATGCCGAGTCTCCATAAACCCTGTCCGAGTTCACTGCAGGGGCTGGGGCCGGACTGGGCGCCTTTTGTTCAATTGCAGCATCCTTAGACTCAACCTCTTCCTCTTCATTGATCCCTAAAGAGCAGAAGAAGTTACAGGTCAGGACATCTGGGTCCCAGTTAGGGGACGGTCATCTTTGTCAGCTAGCTAACTCGTCAGCTGCCTTTTCTGTCTCTCTCCTGGCCACTCTATGTACTTCATATGCACATGGAATCTGCAAGGTCTAAACCGACCTCCTGATCTCCCTGAGGTTCTGGCTAGCCTGAAACTAGATTTGTAGACTGGGTTTGTTTTGAACACAGAGATCCACCTGCCTTTTGCCTCCAATGTTGGAATTAAAGGCATATGTCACAATTCCTGGCTAAAAGTAATTAAATAAGCTTAAGAAACAAATAAACTGAGGGGCTAGAGAGCTAGATTAACCGCCAAGGAAGGGTACATTCTGCTCTTGTAGAGAACCTGAGTTCAGTTCCCAGCTCTCAAGTTTGATGGCTCACAATTGAATAAGACTCCAGCTCCAGTGGGTCTAACTTCCTCTTCCTGCCTCTGTGGGAACTGCACTCACATTCACAAACACACACAGATGCGCATACACAACTAAAAAGAATTAAAATAATCTGAGCCAGGCGTGGTGGCACACGCTTTTAATCCCATCACATGGGAGGCAGAGGCAGATGGATCTCTGAGTTCAAGGCTAGCCTGGTCTACAGAGTGAGTTCCAGAACAGCCAGAGCTACACAGTGAAACCTGTCTTGAAAAACCAAAATGATGATAATAATTAATAAATAATAAATAATCTGGGTGTGGTGTAATACACCTTTAATCCTAGCAAACAAGGAGGCAGAGGCCGGTGGATCAAGACCAGCCAGGGATACATAGAGATCGACCCCATCCCTCCCAACATTAGTTAAGATAAATACATTTGATGTGGTGATGGTTTTACACCTGAATACACTATAACAGGGACTAAACACCTTGACAGATGAAATGGGAGACCCATAAGTTATGATATCTCATATAAAGCTGTTAACCAAAGCAAGGATGACAATCTGTCATGTGAACCAGAGGCCAGATTTCACTCCCCTGTCCCTGAAATTACCGGGTCCTGGGGAGGCTAACCAGCCCCGGCGACGGTTTGCCAAATGTGTCTTGGGAGGTCGGGGGATGACCGGGATGTCCTCCATGGTCACCTCCTCCACATCTGAATCTGAGCTGTCTGGGAGCCAGCATAGATGGCGGACAGCAGGGCCATTGCCCCGAGTGTATACTAGAGAAAAAAAAGTTTCAGATTTAGAGCCCTTTGGTGCAAGAGCAGGTGGCTCTGGACCTGACCCCAATGTCAGGAGAAGGGTGGAACACTGAACTTGTAAGGTTACCTGTTCCTCTGGGTGACAGTAGGGGGGCCC